AAGGACAGGCTGAGGGGCCTGGGCAGGCGAGGTGAGCCCTCTGAGTCAGTTTCTGCCTCTGTAAAATGGGAACATGGGCGGAGCCCACGACAGCGCCTCTCCCTGGCACGGGAGCCCCTTATGCCACCTCCAGATGAACAGAGCTGGGCGTGGGGTTAGCACGGCAGCCTCCACAGGTGGGGGTGGGGGTGGGGGTGGGGCCCGTGCTGTCAGGGCGGCTGTTGAGGCTACTACCCCTCCGAGTGACATGGGCGAGACACGGCGCCATCTTCCTGCCTCTCCATCCACCAGGAGCCCCGCCCCAGCCAGGAGCAGGTCACGAAAAGGACCTTCTTGCTGCCTTGTCTCTCAGGGGAGCAGCATCCCCCCAGCCCCCAGGGCCTCTCCTACCTGCACCCCAACAAGTGACAGACAGCTGTGGAGGGAGGGACACCTGGCCGGGCCCAGAAACCCGCTGCACCCTTCCCCCATCAGTCTGTGCTGGAGGGTGGAGGCTTCCTCCCGGTTGTCATGGAAACGGCAGCAAGTCTACTGAGTGTCTGGGTACTACGCTCAGGCTCAGCGGAGCAGAGGGAGGGGAGCGGCCGCCCTGGTGGCAGCTGCTGTCACACTCCCAGCAGCTCAGCAACGGGAAGGACTTTGCCTCCCTGTGGGCGGCTGACCGCGGCCACACGCGCCCTCTTGTCCACCCGGCTTATGTGATTCCATCCAAGCTCACGGCCCTGCCCTTCCACGGGGGACGCGCTTCCCAGGCGGTGGGGGTGGAACGACAGATCCTCCAGGCGGCCAGGAGCTGGAGCTGCCTGGGGAGGCCAAGCTCCCAGCTCTGAGCTCCAAGCTCCAAGCTCAGCTCCGACTGCGCGGTCCCTGCAGGCGGAGAGATGACTCAGGCGCCTCCTGCCGCCCCCTCCCCCGGCCAGGCCTCTGCGGGGAAGCACAGCCATGCCGGCTGGCTGCGTGGTGTGTGTCTGTCTGTCTGTCTGCCCATCTCTGTCGCCTCTCAGCCTCCATGGGCATTGGAAGCTCCTTGAGGACGGCGGGGAGACCGGAGCAGAGGGGCAGCCACGGTCTCCAGGGCCCTGGCCACGCAGGAGGCGGCACAGGGAGGCCAGGAAACCTCGGGCCCGAGGCAGGACCAGCTCTGGCCCGCGTCTGTGCCGCGTGTGGGGCCCAGAGGATGGGAGGCGGCTGTCAGGGGGTTTCTTAGAAATGGGGGTGTCGGGTGAATGTGGGGGATCCGCGGGACGGTGGGAGCCTGTGCAGTGCCCGCTGCCACGGACGCCAGACTGCTCCAGGTCCCTGGGCGTCGTGGCTCAGGAGAGGATGTGGCAGACTGGGGCGCACTTGCAGTTTGGGGGTAGACTGAGGTCTGGTGCCCCGGCTTCTGCACACACACAGGGCAGACGGGTATCTCCACCCCACCCCACCGCCACCTAACCACGGCCCTAGCCTGGTCCCTAACAGCCCCATGTCCCCTGGGGCGTGGGGGGCTGTCGAAACCCAAGTTCGTTGTTTCCAACCAGAGGCCTGCGATCGGGGCAGCGGAGAAGCCGCAGGAAGTGGCCTGGCTCGGGGCCCAGGGTCGCGTCCTCAGGCGGTTGCGTCTCAGTGGGACCCCTGCCCCCAGAACAAGCCAGGATCTTGCTCCTCTGAGCTCCCCTGGGACACGGGGACCCCGAAAGGGAAATGAACCCCAGTGGGACGGGGACCCTCGCTGGGCTGGCTGCCTGGGGAAGCACAGGGCTGTGCACCTGTGGCCTGGACACGGCCTGGCCTCTCCCCCTCGGGGCCCGGGGCCACCCTAGTGCGGCCCCCGCCAGCCTCCGTGGCCGCCCAGGCCTCCTCTCTCTCCCTGGACGGCTTGTCCCCGCTTGAGGGACCGAGCGTAAGCTGGTTTCCTGAGTGACCGGCGCCATCCTTGACGTGCTCTTACTCTGGTGGCACAACCCGTCACACGCTCCACGGCTGCACGTCCAACAGCCCGCCCCTGCCACGCCCCTGCCGGGACATCAGGGTGCGGGTCTGACAGTGGGGCGCCCTTGCCCTCTCCCCACTAAAGAAGTTGGGGGTGCCCAGGCCTGACTCCCCTCAGCAGGCCGGGCACCAGACGGTGGACTAGGCTCACCACCCACTGTCAGCGACCCCGTGCCCCTTAAGCCACGCTCTGCCCCACCCAGCGGGGCACTGCCAGGCGGCCGCCATGCCCAGGTCCCGCTCTCGGCGCCCTTGGAGCCTGGCACCCTGTTGCCCGGAGAGGCCTGGTGGCCCAGCTGCAGGGTGGCAGCCACGGGGCTGGCTCCGTCCCTGGTAAATGGAGCTCATTCATGCCACGGCCCCGCCTCCCAGCCCCACCTCCCCCGGGAGAGCTGGCTTCCCCTCCGTGGCAAGCACACGGGCTTCCCCCAGCGGCAACAGAACCAGCCTCGTTCTGGAGATGAGGAAACTGAGTCCTCTGCTGTGTCCCCGCCCCCTACCCGCAGGCCCCCCTGCAGCCCAGGCCTCCCGACAGGCGTCGTGTTATTTCTAGAAATGAATGTGCAGACATGTCCCTGGGGAGCAGGCCCTGGAGTGAGCTGGTGGCACCGGAGCCCGCTGGTCACAGGCAGCTCCAGCGGGTCCGTGTCCCCCGAGAAGCGTCCCCGACCTCCGCTGCATTGGCAGCGGGACAGGGACACCCGGGGGGGGGGGGGGGCCTGTGGCTGGAGGAGGCGGCGCGGTTGGTGCCATCTCGGGCTCTCCGCTGAGCCCTGGGAGGCCCTGCTCACGGGCACCCTCTCAGCATGTGGAGGAGGCCCTCCCGCCCCTGTTCCCAAACTCCACACTCATCCCCCGAACAGAGCCGGGCTGGACACAAGAGCCGCCAGGTGACCCAGCAGGGCTCAGGGAGGTCCCACGCCAGGACCCTGGCCATGTCCTGTCCCCTCTGCCTGGCCCCCACTCTGGGCTTGCAAACCCACCCTTGAACCCCTGCTCCATCCCCAGCCACTGGCCTGCTGGGTCCCACCTGCTGGGGGCAGACCTCCCCCTCTCAGCCTTCGGGAGAGCCCCCTGCCTGGTCACTGGGGCTCCGCCCCCTGCCATCAGAGCCAGGACCTGTCCTGCCCCTCAGGGTGTGTGACCCTCAAGCATTTGCTCAGGGGGTTCAGGCCTGGCTGCCAGTGGCTGCGCCTACTGTTGACATCATGTAAAACGTGGGGACCGTGCAGCCCTGACTATGGCATGACTCCCGTGAGACGGCAGCGCTGCTAGTCTTTACGCTGTGACTCCCAGGAACCCATTCAAGCTAATCACTCCCAGCAGAACGGGATAATTCAGCCCGCCACTCAGCATGCGCACCGGCCAAGTGCGGCTCCCCCAGGCCCTGCGGGGAACGGGGCGCTGCTTTCCCTTCATCTCTGCAGGAAGGGCTCGCCCAGACCTGAGCCGCCTCGCTTTCCAGGGCTTGTTCTAAAGACGCGGCGTTGCTTTTGCAGAACATCAGCCGGGCGGTGCGCCGGCTCTCGGGGCAGCTTCTCTGTTGTCGGGGGTAACGGCCGCCGTGCCTGAGCATCCTCCCCACTCAGCCTGGTCCCCCCTCAGCACTGACGCTGTCAGCCCCGCACCTCAGACAACTCAGGGCCCGTGGGAGAGCAGGGTTTCCGTGGGAGCCTCCCCACCCTGGGATGAGCCCCCCGTGGGCCCGCCAGCACCGCCCGTCCACCCCAGGAGTGCAGTGAGCCTGGAGCTCTGGGCTCTGGGACTTGGAGCACGTTTCCTGCCTCTCAGCCTCAGTTTCTCCATCTGTGCAATGGGACTAGGAAGGTGTGAGGATCAGGCGAGCAGCGCCGTGTCCACGCAGCCAGTGCCGGCGGCGGTTTCGTGGCTACCACGTCGGTGGTATAACCTGGTCTAAAACCCGAAACCTCGGATCTAAACTGAACTGGTTCTGGGCTTCGGACACTCAGCTGCTCCACGTTCTCTTAGACTGGAGCCCCTTCCGCCTCCATAGGAACGCCTTCCCGTGGGTGGAACCGGCGGTTCCACGTGGAGACAGCGGGTTTGGGAGTCAGACCCCTGCCTTAGGTTCTTTGAACACCGGCGTCTGCTTTATGTTCCGTAAAACCCCACCGTGGCTGCGGCGCATGGGGAGTCCTCAGAGGGCGGCAGGGCCCCGGGATCTGCCCTGGTCACGTGTGACCTCTAGTGACCCCGAGCCTCCCCAGCTCTGACCTAGAGCCTTTGGCTCCACAAGCACAGGCCCCCCTCCCCCTCCCAGACCCCGGCTGAGGACTCGATACCACACGGGCAGGACCAGGGCTCGAAGGATGGGGGCCCGCCGCCGCAGGCCCGAGCTGACTGCCCGGCAAAGGCCGCCGCGCTCACCCGGTCACAGCGTCCCCACGGGAGACCTGAGCTGGCGCGTGCAGGTGAGGCAGGCGGGCCCTCCGGGTGTGAGGTTAGAGATGCCCCGTCCACCAGGCTGCAGCCCCAGAGCCACGTGTTGTCGCCACTGGGCCCGGAGGAGGCGCCAACAGGGAAGGAGCCTCTTACAACCCGTGCCGGGCTCTGAGGGTGGAGGGGGTGCAGCCACTCAGGGCGGCAGGGCCAGTGGGAGACGCTGCAGACGGCGCACCTGGCAGCGGACACACCCAGCAGAAGATGCTCTTTTTGTTAACCTCACCCGAGGACATTTTCCCATTGATGTTTAGGGAGAATGGAAGGGAGAGGGAGAGACAGAGAGAAACATCGATGTGAGAGAAACACATCGATGGGTTGCCTCCTGCATGCGCCCAACCAGGGCCCAGGCCGGGGAGGAGCCTGCAACCGAGGTCCGTGCCCTTGACCAGAATCGAACCCGGACCCTTTGATCCGCAGGCTGATGCTCTGTCCACTGAGCCACACCAGCCAGGGCCAGAAGGGTGCTTTTGTGGGGGCCAGGCCCGGGCTGGGAGGCTCGGCCGTGGGGGCCTGGGGTCCTTCCTCGCAGCCCCCAGACTAACGCCGCGTGCCCCTCCCCGCAGAGCCGGATGGCGGAGAGCCTGCGCCTCTTCGACTCCATCTGCAACAACAACTGGTTCATCAACACGTCCCTCATCCTGTTCCTGAACAAGAAGGACCTGCTGGCCGAGAAGATCCGGCGCATCCCGCTCACCGTCTGCTTCCCCGAGTACAAGGGCCAGAACACCTACGAGGAGGCGGCCGTCTACATCCAGCGGCAGTTCGAGGACCTGAACCGCAACAAGGAGACCAAGGAGATCTACTCCCACTTCACCTGCGCCACCGACACCAGTAACATCCAGTTCGTCTTCGACGCCGTGACCGACGTCATCATTCAGAACAACCTCAAGTACATAGGCCTTTGCTGAGGGGCGGCCAGCCCGCCCGCCTGTGACGGAACCCCAGGGGGGCCCGCCCCAGCCCAGGGCCAGAAAACGGGGCCTGGAGAACGTCCCCCCGCCCCGCCCCTCCGCCTCCGTGGCCCCCACATTTCCACAAACATAACCATATACGGATAGGTTGCTAGGTAGGTAGACACACACGCACGCACACACACACAGTCGAGACAGCGAAGCGTCCCCAGGCGTCGGGGTCTCTTGGAGATTTGAGGCGCTGTCACACGTTCCCCAAGGCCCTTCCCCCTGCCTGAGTTGGCCCCACTCTGCATGGGGTCCCCCCCGCACCGTGGGACTGCGGGGGAGGCTTTGGGGCCACCTGGAGGCCCGCTGCACCCTAGAACAGGGATCTGTCGCTGACCAGGAGGGAGGACCAGGGAGGGTCCGAGCTCCTTCCGCTGGACACGCCCACCCTGGCCACCGGGGACCGCGCTCTGTGCCTGGAACCGGGGTGCGAGGCCAGCCGGGCGCCAGCCAGCCCTCCCGCCACTCGCAGCTCTTTTTAAACAGCTTCAACGTGTGCAGCGAACGTCCACACAGCAGCACGAGTGGCGCGACCTGTTTCCGGCGAGGCCAGCTGGGGTCCAGCTTTCCTTCTCCTTGTCCGGTGTTTTCTAAACCTGGGATTTCTTCTCTGACTTTTTTTTTTTTTTTTTTTTTTTTTTTGCCAAACCTCGTGGTGTTTTGCAGGAAAAAACAGACAATTTCAAACGCAGTCGAGTATTCTTTTTTTAAAGCGCGGGTCTTCGGGACCTGTTTTTTTTCAGGTGGTCCTTTTCGTGTCTGGCTTGCCGAGTGTCACAGTTGTTACCCGGACGGGTCTGTCCCCTGCTCCTGTTCCTGGTGCGGTTTCTGCTTCGTTTTTGTTTCAGAAAATTCCATGTGACGTATTTAAAGAAGGTTCTTCACGTCGGGGCGAGTGGACAATAGCTGGCGGTCTTGGTGGTGACGGAGGAAGTCCTCTGGCTTTGCAAGGAGAGGAAGGGGAGGCGGGAGATGGGCCCTGGCCGCCCGCGCCTGTGGCTGAGAGCAGCTCTGCCTCCTGTGAAGGCTCAGCCAGCCTTGTAGCCTGAGGGAGGCCCTGCTGGGACCCCAGCCCCAGGCCCGTGGCACCTGCCACTGTGGAAGGACCTTGGCCGCGGATCGCGTGTAAATACGAACCCCGGCGGCCACCGAGAGGGAAGGCGCCCCGAGACCTCGCCAGAGCTCCTCTCTCTGCCTCTGTTCGGTACCGTGCGCCCGAGGTCGGGCGCAGAAGCACAGCCAAGGACTTGGGAGATGTGCAGAGGGCTGCGGGCCGGTGTGGTGTGGAAGTCAAAGATTGTCTACTTTCAGAAAATAAAATATCCCGAACGAGCCAGCCGAGCCCGGGTGCTGCGTGTGCAGGGCTGAGGGCTGGGCCCGTCCACTCTGCGGTTCCTTTCTCGGCCCCTCCCCCTGCCCCCATACACACACCCCCCCACACACACACGTAGGTAACTCATCTCAAAATGAACATCAAGAACAAACAACCTCAAGAGAGGAAAGAGCCTGCAGGCGTGAGGAGCCTGCCCGGCTGGTGTGGCTCAGTGGTTGAGCATTGACCCAGGAGCCAGGAGGTCATGGTTCCATCCCCGGTCAGGGCACCTGCCGGGGGTTGCAGGTTGTGGGCTCGATCCCCTGTAGGGGGCGTGCAGGAGACAGCTGATCAGTGATTTTAATCATTAATGTTTCTATTCCTCCCTCTCCCTTCCTCTCTCTGAAATTAAAGAAAAACTTATTTTCTGAACAGTGAGGAGCCCCGCCAGGCCCCTGTGTCCCGAGGCGCTGAGGTTTGGGGGTGACGATGGCTCCCACCCCTCCCACTGTCCCCAACACCCACCAAGGCTGCACTGTCACCCAGAACCCTCACACCCTAAAGACACCTCCGCCAGGGTCAGAGCTGTTCCCGCAGAGCAGAAGAGGTTCCCGGAGAGCCCCGAGGTGCCGACCCCCATCAGGGCAGGGCGGTCCTGCAGGGCGCGGCACCCGCCGGAAGTGCCCCCGAGGCCTACCATTCGCTGACTCCGGTTACAGCATCTCCGTGTGGGGAAAGCACTGATCAGCAGTCAAGGACGTGTGTCCACCCTGCACAGGCTCCTTGCAAATTCCTTTAACACTCACGACAGAGCTTGTCTGCAGTGGCCCATTTTATAGATGAACGGGTCGAGGTCAAGGTCAGGGAGAGGTGGAGACGCCTTTCCTGGGCGGGGCAGAGGGGGACGTGCCTCCCAAGGCCTCCATCCTCGTCTGCCTCTGCCTGACCACTGTGCCTGGACGGAGGGATGGGGAGCCCAAGGGGAGCACAGAGCCACCCTCGTCACCTCCTGAATCCAGCACCCACCCCCACACGAGCCCGGGGTGAGGGGCAGCAGAAGGTGTGCGCACAGGTGCCCACGCAGACACTCAGAACCTAGTCACCCAGGAACCTGGCTCTCTCCCCGCCCAGCCCCGCCCCTGAGCCCACGTGGGGATCCCCTCCACGCCTTCCCACCTCACCAAACAGCAAAAGCCCAAGGGGGCTCTTGTAGAAGAAGAAGAAGTAACATGTGATTTAAATCAGAGACTTACTCGGCTGTGAAAGGACCCGTGAGCAGCTCTAGCCTGAAGATGCACGGCTAGAGGGGACTGAGGGTTCAACTGCCCATCAAGACGGTCAGGCTGACACGGCCCTGGTCCCCCATCCCTGCCCCGCGGCTTCAGCTCCCCCTGGACACAGCCCCCCGATTTCTCTCTCTAGTCCTGAGAGTGTGTGACGCCAGGGATGTGCCCCAGCACTTCAAAACCACCAGGATTGAACCTGCGTCCAGAGTCTCCCAGTGTCCTGCCCCTCGGGCCTGGCCCTGGGAGAGGCCCCAGCTCATCCTCACAGCCTCTCCCCCGAGGGAGGCGCGTCTGCCTCCACCCCCACAGCACCCCCAGCCCAGGCCGCACACGGGGTCAGGACAGAGCGGTCCTTACAACACTGCGGAGAAAGCTGGGCCAGCTGATCCCAGCCCCGCACAGGAGCGAGTGACCGGGGGAGTCGGGCCGGACTCCCAGGCATGCCAGTCGGGGCCCAAGGCCACCGTCAGGGAGAGGGCCCAAGGGGGCATGGCCAGTGGGTCTGGTAGGGAGACACTTCCAGGGACCCCCAGCTGTTCAACTGCACCCCAAACTCGTTACCCAAGAGCCCCAGTCTCAGCCCTGAAGCTGAACATCCGGCCAGGAAAGAGACACGTGCCCTCCACGTTCGCAGGCAGGATCTCCGGAGCCTGCGCCAGCGGCCTCTGCGTGGCACTGGCCTCTGCACTCCTGGCCCCTCCTCTCCTGAAGGGCCCCACCCCAGGCCCAGATCCCAGCAGGGCCCAGCCAGGCTGTCACAGTCCTGGGGCGCCCCCTGCTGGTTCCTTTGGGAAAACAGCCAGTAAACCAGACCCCACCCAGCGCAAGGGCTCAGAGGAGACCTCCATCCCCCCACCCCCCACCCCTCACCAGATACCCCAACACATTAGTCAAACAGACGAAGGGGTGGGTGAGTGAATTGCAGCAAGAAAACAGACAAATGACCTTTAAAAATGTGGCCCCAGATGAGGCTTGTCAGAACCAGAGCTCCCGACCTACGGTGCACCCAGAGCGTGTAGGTTCCAGGAAAGTTTGCAGGGAGGAGATGGGGGGGGGGGGCGCAATGCAGGGGGGCGCATAGAGCTTTTGTCATTAAGACTGTGTTGGCCCAGCAAGGGCGAGACAAGACCTCAGAACAGAAATAAAAATCCATCCCAGGGACCTTCACAAGATCAATGTGAAGAACAAAACTCAACACTTTTAAAAGGAAATATGGCAGACAGTCTTCATGAGCTCTTAAACGGCACCAAATTATCTTAAACAGCACCCCAAAAAGCGCACACGCGTGCACACACACACACACTCACACACTCACATACACACTCACACACGTGTAGGAAACGGACTACATTCCAATGAAAAACTGCTGGACCAATGAGCAAACAGATCAACAGCAAAAAGCCGCACAACCAGCCCAGGAAATGGCATTTCCAGTGTGTGACCCGCCAGGGTTGGGGCCCAGAAGAAATGCAACATTCCCTCCTCCCGACCGGTAAGAAATGGGGTTGGGGGAGAAACAGGTCAACAAATGGGCTCAGGCTCCCAGGCGGCGCCAGGCGGAGGGACGATGCCGCTGCCCGCGGTCACGGGGACAGCGGAGCCACACACAGCGACACGGCTCAGCACGCCACTGGGCTGCTGACTAGGATGCAGCACATGCAAGTTCAGGCCAAGCTGAAGGCTTGCGGGCTTGCATTCTCTCTCTCTTTTTTATGGTGAAAACACCTTTAATGCGGTCTTGCACCCTCAGGTGTCTGGTTGAGCAGGCACACCCTGCAGGGCTTGCGTTCTCCGTGCCCCACCACGCTGTCCCCCGGCTGAGCTCCTCCAGGCTCGGGAACAGAAGCAGCGGGGCCCTCCGCCGGGCAGGTATGTTGCATGTGAGTATAGGGGTGCGCCGCGGTGCTCATAACGAAACAGAGCCCATGACACGACATGGGTCAATCCCAACATTACAGCATTGCATTGTTTCAACAGCGAGGAGATATGGAAGCGAGATCGTTTACATGGAGTTGGAAAACGCGCGAGGAAAGATCTGTATCTGTTCACATCTGTGGTAAAATACAAAGACCTGCGGTGGCGACATAGTCCCCAGATGATGGAAGGGGCTGAGCGGAGGAGGTTCACAGGGGACTTGGATTGGGTGGGGGGGGGGTTCAAGCAACCATCTCAAGCACATGTGAAATGGGGCAGAATGTTAAGATTCAGCAAAGCTGAGTGCTGGTGCCTGACACCCATTCTCATTGTCTCGCTACTTGTCTGAATGCTTTAAAGGTTCGCACACAGTGAGCCGGGGGCTCAGCCCCAAGCACTGGCCTGTCGTAGAGACACCCCAACATCTCGGTGCCTCTCACCCGCGGCCGCACGGGAGAATCAGCCACGGCTCGTTTAAGAAAGGCGTGGGCAAGCCCCATGCCCGGAGCCCCGAGATGATTCTGCCAGCAACGGACAAGGGCGGTCTTCTTATTTTTCTGGGAGGAGCCTGCGACCGAGGTAGGTGCCCTTGACCGGAATCGAACCCGGGGCCCCTCAGTCCGCAGGCAGACGTAAAGCATAACTTTTAAACGTGTGCTCTAGGCGGATCTGAAGCCAGGCGCGCGCCCGGCCTGCCCGGGAGGCCTTGGGGTGGCGGGGCGGCCGGGGCCTACCTGAGGGCACCTGCGCCAGGTGCTGGAAGGCCAGGTGCAGGTTCTCGCGGCAGGCCGGCTGCGGGTCGTTCAGCAGGAGGGACAGCGCGGTGACGATGCCGTCCCTCAGAAAGCCGTCTCTGCAGAGAGAGGCGGGTTCAGACACGATGAGGACCGATCCCGGGGAGGCCCGGGAGGGTCAGGAGGCAGTTCCCACCCTCCCCCCCCCCCCCCCCCCCCCCCCTCCCCCCCCCCCCCCCCGGATTCTGAACCCGTGCGGGCAGCTGCAGGCCGCACCCTCTGGCTGCCTGAGAGAAGAACAAGGCCAGGATAGAGCGTCGGCTCCTAGACTGAAGTGTCCCAGGTTTGATTCCGGTCAAGGGTATGTCCCTCGGTTGCAGGCTTGATCCCCCACCCCACGTCGCCCCAGCCCCAGTCCAGGTGCATGCAGAAGGCAAGCAATCAATGTATCTCTCTCACCTCGATGTTTCTCTCTCGCTCTCGCTCTCTCTCTCTGTCTCTCCCTCTCCCTTCCACTCTCTCTAAAAATCAATGGAAAAATATCCTCGGGTGAGGATCAGCAATACACACACACACACATACACACAATAAGTAAATAAATAAAAATTCCTTGTTTAAAAAAAAAAAGACGACGGCCAGAAGTGGGCCCTCCAGGCCCTGAGAGCTGGGTGGCCTGTGGGGTGGAGGAAAGAGCTAGGACTTCGATTCGGGTTCCTAGTGGCCTGGAGGTTTCCCTTTGCTCCTCTGAGCCTCAGTCCCCATCGGTAACATGGGGACAAGGCAGCAGAATCCATAACTGACCGCCTTGACCCCTCTCTCCACCCGCCCAGCACTGAGGCTCCAAGGCAGCGAGCCCCCTCTGCCGGCCCCCAGACCTGTGAATGCTGTGTCCTCATTGTTATGATTCTATAAATTAAGTAAATACTAGGTAAGCCAGTTAGATGAGAGGAGAGGGTTGTTTTTAATCTCCTTATGAAAACCAGGTGGAATGCTTTGAGGAGACTCCAAAGTGAGTCTGTCAGACAAGTGAGATGATGATAGAAAGGCCCTAGAAGGTTTTTGCATACAGATTACTTCATTAATGTCTGACTTCTTGCTCTTCTCGAAAGAAACCACGGCTGCACATTAGACGACCTTGCAGGGGTAGTTTAAGTCCCAAAGAGGAGGGGAACCTCAATCCGTGGGCCCACATCCCAGGGAAGGCCTGGTGGCACTGGGGGTGGACGAATGCCTAGCCCTTTGTGTTTGGGGTTAAGATAAACTGTTCAAAGGGAATGTACAAATCTCTGATTCCTGGCTTTTTGTTTTTCCATTGAAAAAAAAAAAAAAGCCTGCCCTGGGTTTCCATACACAGTGGCCCACCTGCCCACGGTGTGGGTCGCCATGATGGACAGCACCTCGGTGGTCTTGATGCGCACCATGTGGTTGGTGTCCCTCAGCAAAGCCCGCAGGCTCTCCAGGCAGCCTGTGGGGCAGAAAGACCTTTGGACGGTTATCAGTCTCCAGGTTCAGCCAACCCAGACGCCAACAGGTGAGCCCACATCGGCAACCGCGATCAGCAGAGGCATCATGGCCCTTAGGAAGGGTTTCAGAGTCACCGCAGGGGGCTCTGTGTGCTCCCACCCAGGGACCATTCAGAAAATGCATTTGGAGCCTGGATGGCATGGCTCAGTGGTTGAGCATCAACCCAGCAACCGGGAGGTCACTGGTTCGATTCCCAGTCAAGGCACGTGCCCGGGTTGCAGGCTCAGTCCCTCATCATTGATGTTTCTACTCGCCCTTCCTCTGTGAAATCAATATATATATATTTTTTTTTAATCAGCCCTTCAGCTAAGGCTCGGGGGGGGAAGTGGCAGTGCACTCATCATGTGCCTGATCAGGGAAAGGTGTGGCCGGACCACTAAGGTCACCTCAGCGTTCATTTTGGTCGTTAGGAGAGTGGGAAACAAGAGGTCCCAGGTACTATGTGGTTCCAATAGGGTGTTGCCTATCTTTTGTGGCTGACAGATCACAGGGCTGTTTGGTGGATTTGTGGCCACCTGGTCGGTCCAGCCATAGCAGAGAGGGCGGTTTTGTGGCTGGGTCGGCTGCTGGGGGTGTCCTCCAAGGACGGACTGACCAGCTGGGAGGGTCACCTCAACTCCTCCCACCTCCAGCTACTCTGTGTCTGTCCATCCAGACCCGAGTTACGGTCGCCTGGGCTCCGTGACACTCTCACCTATGTCGATGGCCACATAGACATGCTCGGGGTCATGCATGAGGTCGCACAGAGCCATGAGGGCTTTCTGCCTGGTCTGCAGGTCCTCGGACTGCAGTTCCTCGTTCAGCTTGGGCAGGGCCCGGCAACCGTATGCGATGGAAGCCTGGGCGGGGTTGATGTTGGGGGGCAGGTACATAGAGATCCAGGTATGGGCCATCTTTCAGCACCTGCAGGAGGTGACTCTGTCGCTTTCAAAACGGAGCTCCGCAGAGACCACTGGTGAAAAGAACCCCAAACGTTGTCATGAGTACGACTGTGATTTAGAAGCTACTTCTCATTCGATCCTCAAAACGGTAAGCACAGTTGAGTGGATATTTTTAATGTTTTTATTGATTTTTAGAGAGAGAGGAAGGGAGAGAGAAAGACAGAGAGAAACATCAATGTGAGAGAAACACACCGATTGGCTGCCTCCTGCACATGCCCGACCAGGGCCCCTGGCCAGCGAGGAGCCTGCAACCAAGGTACATGCCCTTGAAGGGAATCGAACCCGGGATCCTTCGCTCTGCAGGCCAACGTTCTATCCACTGAGCCAAACCAGCTAGGGCATGAATTATTTTTATTGCACACACACACACACACACACTTGGAACATCTGTAAGTAATGTGGCTTAGCACTCAGAACCGGCTCCAGACCCAGGCCACGGGGCGGCCCTTGACAATCTCTTCCTCTCTGTGAGCCTTTGCAAAAAGGACTTGATAACAGCACCTCCTTCCCTTGCTCCCGTGTGAACGACCCTCCTGAGCCTGGCACACCAGGGCTCCCGATGCGTTGGCTGTGGTCCTTACTGTGGAAGTGGTTGCTGCTGCCGGTGTTGAGTGGCCCTGACAGGCCCCCGCCCTGTAGGATTCTACCCCAGTTAAAGAACTAAGGCCAACTCTGCTCTTAGGCACCAGGTGACAAGGAAAGACAGACGGGACGAGCTGGGCGGGGAAGGGGAGGGGCGGCCATTTCCGATTGGGGCTCCCCCTGCAGGGAATGCTGGGCTCCGGGGATCGGGAACATGGGGGTCTGGCCTCCTCCTGTATGTGGCTTGGGCTGCGGGAGTCCCGCCGCGGATGAGAGCGGACGCGGGACCCGTGTGAGTCAGACTGGATGGGTCTGAGGGTCCCCTGTCCCCCCTGTCTTGGGCCCCTGTCTGGTGCCGCAGGCTCACCTGCTTCAGCGTGCGTGGTCGCCCGTTGCTAGGCGACCCGGTTGCCAGGCGACCCCAGCGGCGTCCTCAGCGCTGCGCTCCGCACACTAGGCGCCCACCGCGCAGGCGCAGGCGGCGCGAGCAGCCTCGGTCTGGGGCCGGCTGTAAAGAGGGGACAATGATACTTTACGGGGTTACCGCGGGGAACAAAGACGGCTCTGCTTTGTTCATAGCACCGAGGGGAAGGGAAATGAGTGTGAACGCCTTTCTCTGTGCGGGACACTTCGCATGCCTTTAGTCCTCAAAGTAACCCCGTGAGCTGCTAACATGATCCAGGTTATAGGCAGGCCCCTCAGAGGTCTTCTGAGTAGCTTGCCAAAACCACGCAGGCCAGAGCCCAGGACTGCCAAGCCCTGGCCATGCTCCTCGCTCTGCAGGCTGGTGGCCCGGGAATGACACAGATCGGCCCTCGCAGTGGACCCAATGCCCTGCTGACTGGAGCAATTGTGCTTGAAAGCAAGCCAGACCCAGCCGTCACCTGCATACAACCCTCCATGGCTCCCCAGTGGACTCAGGACAGAGTCCAAACATCCATCCTGCCGCTCAAGACCCTGGGTGCCAGGCCGGATATGAGTCCTCCAAATGGCCACCTCCTCCATGCAGCCTGGGCTGCCAGGAACAGAAACCACCTCTGTGTCCTTCAGGGCACACAGCTCGGTGGACAGACACCACCTCCACGAAGCCTGTCGTCTCCCCAACTCCGTGTTAGTACCAGTAAATGATCCCGTAGCTTCATTAATTACCAGGAGGCTTTCAGTACGTGTAGAATGAATAACTGGGTCATGGACTTGAGTCCAGCTTTATACTAATCTACAGAGCACTTTCATAGGTAGTCGAGTCCATTTGATAGCTGGGTAAACTGAGCACAGGAGACGGGAGACCAACTCTCATGAGTTCACCCTTAGGCCTGGGCCTGTCACCGTGAAACTCACTAGCAAAGGCACCAAGCATCAGCTTCCAACAGTTAGCTTTGAAATGCAGGTAATTGACTTGGACCTGCGGGCCAAGGATGCCCTATTGTGATGTGGAAGTCTGCCCCCTACTGCTGCTATTCTTCAAAGGACAAAGTCAGGGAGGGTCTCTCTGACCCTGAGCTTTTTGAGGAGTGTGGGGCAGACAGCACAAGGCTGGGAGTCAGGAAACCTGGGTTCTGATTCTAGTTCTAACTCACGTGGCAACACTTTTAAATTGTGTGAGCCTTCGTTTCCTCGTCTGTGAAATGGGAAGCTGGATAAAATAGATTCTCAAAGCTGGGAACCCTGGGCCGCTCAGAGTCTGTGTATACAGTCTTTAAAAAAAAAAAAAGTGCCCTTCGGCTCGGCTGGCGTGGCTCAGTGGTTGAGCATCGACCTATGAAAAATCATATTCAATATATTACAAAAATAAACACTTACACACGTCACATCATAACCCCTACCAGTTTGAGCTCCCACCCCTCCCGGCTACAGTGATTGTCAGAGAGGTCTCTCCACCATCAGCCCCGCCCAGACTCCCATCTTTGGATCCAGGCTCCACCCAGACCGCGATGACCCCGCCCACAGCGCCATATCCAACCCCGCCCTCGTTTCCATGGTGATCGCAAGCGCTCCCTGGCGGGGGCGGGAGGGAGAACAGGCAACAGCCTAGTCAAGTGCCCACGATTCCCTCGAGGCTCTGGTTGCTATAGTGACGGCTCGGGCACGCCGCAGTGGGATTGCTTCCGCTCCGAGCCCCGCCCAGACCCAGCCCCCGACGTCCAGGATTGGTCAGATGCTCTCGGGTCGCGCGTGGTCATCGTTGCCATGGTGATTTCCGCAGCGAACCGAGCCGGACCAGGCTGCGCTGAACCCGAATCTTCCGCTGCTGCTGCTGCCAGTGAGTCCGCCGCGCCTCTGTCCTCCCCTTGGCCCGCCTCCCGCCTCCCACCTCCCACCTCCGGGAGGGCGCGTCGCGGAGGCCCCGGTCGGAAGGACGCCGCGTCCCCCGCCCACCTCCCACCCCCAGAATCTGAGCGCGGCCTGAGGCCCTGAGGCCTCAGCATTTCCTGAACCCCCGACCCTGAACGCCCCGTGCTGGGCCTGGAGGGGAGCTGGGTCAGAGCGAGGACAACAGGCCTGGGTCAAGGCCCCCCTAGCGGGGAAGCGGGCAGAGGAAGGCGCGGTCGGGCTGACTAGGCGCCGGGGGCGCGGTCCCGGGTGGGGTGACAGGCCTGTGGGCTGAAACCCAAGAGCCTGCCTGCGAGGCCTGCGATGTGTGTGCCCCACTCACAACCAGTCACACGCTCAGAGAGGGGCCACTCCGGGTTGGACACCCACATCCCGCAGCAGGGGGGAGGCCCAGGTCTTCGGGACGCCCCGCCCCCACCTCCTGCCTGCAGACTGAAAGAGGTGACACCGGGCCAGACGCCTGGCAGGGGGAGGAGGAGGCTTGGACCTGCTTTTAAAGACCCTGGAAAGTTAGGCGTAAACTTGGGGGTGAGTCCCCAGGCGTGGGCACAGCTCCCTAACCCTTCCCCCCCGCCCCTTGGGTCTCCAGAACTCTCCGGAAGGATGAGGGCCTCCCTGCCGCCTCTGGGGCCCCCTGTGAGCCGGGACCGCATCATCGCCAGCTTCCCTAAGGTAGGGAGTCCTGAGGCCAGACCTTGACGTGAGCAGTGAGCACTGCGCTCCCCAGACGTATCCACAAATATCACTTTTAACCAATCAATAACTAATCTGCGCTTTTAACCGGTATCCGCACTTTTAATCAATATCCGCACTTGTAACCAGTATCCGCATTTTTAACCAGTATCTGCACTTTTAACCGGAATGCGCACTTTTAACCGATTAAGAGCTCATTGAATACCGGTTAAAAGTGCGGATACAGGTTTAAAATGGTAGCTTTCCCCATCTGCATGCATCACCAAAAACAAGGCAGGTGAACCCGGGAGGTCAGTTCCTTGCTGACAGACTTCCTGAGAAGCTGGGAGACATGGCGCTGGCTTGGCCAGGGTGGGCCAGGAGCCAGTGTGGCCTGGAAGTTAAGGGCACGGACTTTGCAATCAGACAGTCTTGGGTGTGAATCCTAAATCTGTCAATCCTAAATCAATTCTAAATCCTAAAGCTGTGTGACTGTGAGCAAGTTACTCAACCGCTCGGAGCCACTGTTCCACAGGGTCAGTCCTCCGTGTCGGTGCCTGGCTCATAGCCAACAGGAGCTCCCCGCCTGAGTGGTGATCATTGTTCTCATAATTATTATGACGATTATCTTTTTTTTTTTTTTTGCTGATCCTCACCCAAGGATATTTTTCATTGATTCTTTTAGGGAGAGTGGAGGAGAGAAAGACAGAGAGAAACTTCAGTGTGAGAGAAAACCATCGATTGGTTGCCTCCTGCACGTGCCCCGACCAGAGTCCGGGCCAGGGAGGAGCCTGCAACCAAGGTACATGCCCTTGACCGGAATTGAACCCGGGACCCTTTGGTCCGCAGGCCAATGCTCTATCCACTAGGGCATCATTATGATGATCAAAACAGCACTCCAGTTTCCTGACACCAAATCCAGGGTTCTCCCTTCTTACCATTCTGCCTTCAGTTGCTGCCGGAAACTGAGCTCTCTTCCTTCTACATTAAGATCTAACGTATTTTCAGAACTACGTGTTCATGCCCGTGTGGCTGACTGCAGAGCTCCGACTTCCCCCTGCCCTGGGGGGCATCTGCCCTGTTTCCACAGGTCGGATTCTCCCCCGCTGTCAGTGGCCGCCAGGGGTCACAGGCCACAGCGGGCCAAGTTCGCCCTGCACCCCACAGCACGCCATGGCAGACCGACCACTCTGTGGTCAGATGGGGCAAGTCCTTCCCTTTGCTCTGGGGGCCTCAGTTTTCCTGTCTCTAAAATTGGCTCGCACTTCCTGTCCAGCCTTCCTTATTAAACGCTGCTCCAGTCCATCCAAGTCATGGGATTCCTCTCGTGACCACCGGGCCTAGGCCGGGGCCCCACTTTGAGGCTGGATGCAAGTCGGCGGGAAAAGCAGCCAGCTTCCTCGCGAGGCGGCTGCCGCTCTCCTGCCTGAATGTGGGCTGCGGGGCTGCACTGCGCCCCTGCGTCACCCAGTTAATCCTCCGGCCACCAGATGAAGAGGTGCTGTTGGGCGTGTCCCGCTTTACGGAGGAGGAAAGGGGCTCAGTGAGGTTTCCTAACTCGCCTTATTGCAAAGTTCCTTCCACCTTCACGCCTGGAGCAGAGAGGGCACCTGGGCCAAAGCAGAGCCCATTCCAGTGCCTGGGAGCTCAGAAGAGACACCTGGGGAGGGCATGTGGCCACGCCCCTGCCACAGGGACAGAGCCCCAGAGGGACAGAGCCCCTGGCCCTGGCCACCACGGCCGCGTCATGGCAGAGCACAGCGGCAGCCTCCCACGATGCCATTCCCTCCATGTCCTGGCCACACTCTCTGCTTAGCCGTGGCCCATTAGAGAATAAAATATGATGGTCATCGAAGTGTTTTTTCTAATTTTAAAACAAATGCACATTCAGCACGAGTCATGGCATCTAACAGCCGCGAACACTTGTTGAGCACTCGGTGTGTGCCAGGCTGGCTCTGTGCCTTACAGACATTATCTCCTTCTCTGCCCCCAAGCCTCTGAGGTTCGCATGTGGGGAAACTAAAGTTCAGGGGTTGAGCGTCGACCTGTGAACCAGGAGGTCACAGTTGGATTCCCGGTCAGGGCACATGCCCGGGGTTGCAGGCTCGATTCCCATTGGGGGGCGTGCAGGAGACAGCCGATCAGTGATTCTCTCTCATCATTGATGCTTCTCTCTCTCTCCCTCTCCCTTCCTCTCTGAAATCAATTAAAAACTTTTTTTTTTTAATTCAGAGACCTTAGGTAACCGCCCAGGGTCACACAGCAGCTAAGCATGGACGCAGGTCTTGGCCCTGAGGCTGTACTCTTAAACCACCCCCGGTTCTGCCTTCCCGATATTGTGGGAGGCCTGAAGTGCCTTCCAGCGCATTTCCATGCACACATGTGCAAACGTTAGAAGCAAAAATGGCCTGGAGTTCCGTAGGAGCTGTGGGAGGACCTTGGAGCTAACAGGGCCCTTACAGGCCAGCCTGCATCTCACCCCAAGAGGACAGAGGGGATGGAGGCCTGACACGTGCCCACAGTAAGGGCACAGCCACCCCAGCTGGGACCCAGCTCTCCAGTCCCCACCTGCGCTCTCTGGTCTGGCTCCGCCCCTGCTGCTGCTCCTCAGGACTCCTAACACTTGGAGGCTGCTGACAGGAGAGGGGATGGGCCTGACCGAGGGACCGGGGAGCGCTAGGGGCTGCCAGCCGGTGGCAGGTCACCACCTCGCTGCCCTGCTGGGTGATGGAGCCGCAGCTTCGCGGGGCGAGGTGCCCATTTGTCTGTCTGTCTGTCTGATTCCTTGCAGTGGTACACGCCTGCCGCCTGCCTGCAGCTCAAGGAGCACTTCCACGGGCAGGTCAACGCCGCCTGCCAGCGCAGGAACACGGGGACCGTCGGGTGAGCACCCCTCAGCGCCCAGGGCGTGGGGTGTGGGGGGCCGGCAGGGAGGAATGAGAGCATGCGTGGACATGCGAATGCATACGTGACACACCCACACTGCCCCGTGCAGCCCAGGATGGGCCTGAACATGATGGGAGTTTTCGCTGCTTCATTGGGCACACAGCTGCCACGTGACCATTTCCCAACAAGTCACGCATGTGATTCCTCAGCCTGAGGTCTCGGCATCTGTCTTCCGTTTGTATTGGTTTTCCTCCTCTTTTTATTTTTTTAAGTATATTTTTTATTTCAGCGAGGAAGGGAGAGGGAGAGGGAGAAACATCAGCGATGAGACACGCCTGGTTCCCCTTCAGCGGGGGTCAGCGGGAGGCTGAGGATGGCTTTGCGGCCAGGTGGGCATCCAGCTGCCCTGGGAGGCCTGTTCCGCCCTCTGGTGGCCGCACTGAGCAGGCCAAGCCCTCCAGGAGCTGGACCTCAGCACAGACTCGGTGCTCATGGCGTTTCAGAGGATGGTGGGCAGGGGGCGGGGGGACGGAGTGCCCACCTGGTGTCTGCACCCCTCTAAGGCAGTGGTTCTCAACCTGCGGGTCGTGACCCCTTTGGGGGTCAAACGACCCTTTCACAGGGGTCGCCTAAGACCACCGGAAAACACATATATAATTACATATTGTTTTTGTGATTAATCACTATGCTTTAATTATGTTCCATTTGTAACAATGAAAATACATCCTGCATATCAGATATTTATATGACGATTCATAACAGTAGCAAAATTACAGTGATGAAGTAGCAACAAAAATAATTTTATGGTTGGGGATCACCACAACATAAGGAACTGTATTAAAGGGTCGTGGCATTAGGAAGGTTGAGAATCACTGGCCTAAGGGGTCAACCCTCCCAGACTGGTTTGAGGACCCTGGGGGTGCAGGCAGGATTGGGACTAGTGCCAGCGTGTGGCCCGGGCTCAGCAGGTCCCTGGAGCTGCAGGGGAGTGCCGAGGGTGCTGTGTGCTGAGTGGGGTCTCCAGGGGGTGAGAGATGCTGCCACGGAGGTGGGGTGGCATCAGGGACTTGGACCAGGCAGCACTGGGGCAGAGCTGAGTGTGTGTGTGTGTGAGGGGAGGACCCAGGAGCGGAGACCCTCAGTCAGTGTACCTCCAGGCATGCAGACCCAAGATCTGTCTAGGACCTGCCCCTGTCCCCTTGGCTGGCCCTAGCAGACACCCCCAAAGGAGCAGGTGTGACCACTCAGGAAGTGACTATTTGGCAGGGGCAGGAGGGAGCCCCTCGGGCGTGTAGCCCCAGGGGTGGGTGAGTAGGAGGTGCCGGGTTCGGTCCCGGCCCCCGCTATGTGTGTGCCCCAGGTTCCCAGCTGAGCTCCCGGCTTGCACGCAGCCCCACCCACCCGTTCTCCGCAGGCTCAGCCTCTCCAAGGCTGTTGTCGTCGGCGACCTCCACGTGGGCAAGACCAGCCTCATCCACAGGTAGGCACGTCGCCACACCCCAGCGCCAGGCTGCCAGGGCTTTACCGGGGAGCCCAGAGGGCATCGTCATAGTCCAGGCATGTGACTGCCCGGAGCACGCCCGGGGAGGGGTGCAGGAAATCCGGGGAGGGGTTCAGCTGAGAGTGGGGCATCCCAGGGCCCTGGCATCGGTCACACGGTCCCCCCCGCGCCGTGGGCTTGCCCTCACCGCCCTCGCTGCGGAAGCATGCCAGTTTCCCTTTCTCTGCCCCTGACTTGCAGTGTTTGCTGCAGCCTTTCTCCCCCCACATAATTCTTTATTAAATATAACTTTATTGATTCCAGAGAAGAAGGGAGAGGGAGAGAGAGAGAAACATTGATGTGAGAGCATATGGATCGGCTGCCTCCTGCACGCCCCCTACTGGGGATGGAGCCTGCCAGCCAGGCCTGTGCCCTCACCAGGAATCGAACCGTGACCTCCTGGTTCATAGGTTGACGCTCAACCACTGAGCCACTCCGCCGGGCCCCCCCATAATTCCTGTTGGCTGTCCCTCCGTGTCCTGTCTCGGGACTGTCACCTCCTTAGTGACTCCCAGCGGGCTCGATGCCCAGACTCTCGCTGTCACGAAGCTTCCCCGCAGCCTCTCTGATAACTTCCCTGCTCCCACAGGTTTTGCAAGAACGTTTTTGACCACGACTACAAGGCCACCATCGGGGTGGACTTCGAAATCGAGCGCTTTGAGATTGCTGGAATCCCCTACAGCCTCCAGATGTGAGTCCCTGTCGAGTGCCACCGTGTCCTAGGTGGCCTGGGCAGGGGAGAGTGGGGGGGGGGGGGCTTGGAGGACGCCCTCGCTGTGCTCTTTCTCAGGGGCACTCAGCCAGGACCCGCACCCCCCCACCTGGCCACCTGTGACCCCACTCGCCAGGCCATCCCTGAGGCCTCTGGCAGGTCACTTCCGGTCTCTGAGCCCCTGTTCCCATCTGGAAAACGGGGCCCAAACTGCTGAGCTCTGACCGCTGCAGTGACTTAACCTGCCGCCTCTGTTTCCCTCTCTCTCTGCCCCCGCACAGCTGGGACACAGCAGGACAAGAGAAGTTCAAGTGCATCGCATCTGCCTATTACCGGGGCGCCCAGGGTGAGCAGCCGGGTCATGGCAACGACGGGGCCCTCAATATCACGCACCCAAGGGCTCCCCACCAGGCTCAGCAGGCCCTCCGTGCAGGCCCCAGATCCGTCCCCAAGAAGCACTGAGAACGCCCTGGCCAGTCTCGGGGCCTGGGTGGGATCGGCAGGCACAGCCTGTGGGACCCGGTGGGCATGGGTGCTCCCTGGGAGGCTCAGCCCCAGTGTCAGCTCAGAAAGAGGCTCCAGGGAGACACGTGTCCAGAGCCCCCAGAGAGCAGAGCCGAGCTGACCGGGGGTGGGGGTGGGGGGAGGCTGGGCCAGCGACGGGAGGAGCTGGGGGGGGGGGGCTGCATCTCCATGTCCTGCCCTCCCTGCTCCCCATCAGTTATTTCCCCAAAGCCGGTGGTTTAAACTCACAAACTGCCTGTTATTTGTTGTTGTTAATCCTCACCCGAGGATATTTTCCAGTGATTTTTAGAGAGAAAGAGAGAGAGAGAGAGACACATTGATTGGCTGCCTCCCTCACGGCCATGACCAGGGCCGGGGATTGAGCCTGCAACCGAGGTACATGCCCTTGACCGGAACCGAACCAGGGACGCTTCAGTCCTCGGGCCGACGCTCTATCCACTGAGCCGAACCGGCCAGGGTGCTAATTGCTCCTAGTAGCTGCCACTGGTCCGGAGTCTGCCTGCATCAGGCCCTGAACCGAGAGCTTTAAACTCGCTGCGCTGGCTTAAGCCTCCCGGCACCCCGGCAGCTGCAGGCACTATTGTCTCTCCCAGGTGGGGAGGTGGCCTCAGCAGCGAAGGCCCTCGCCCGCCAGCTCCCTTAGCTGAGGTGCCCACGGCGGAGGGGAGGTTGAGCTCAGGAGCCCCAAGCACATCGGGCCTCACGGGATCCCCCCTGTGGCTGCACCGCTGGGGGTGGGCTGGAGGGTGGGTCACCAGGGGCAGATACGGTGACTCCTTCCTGGCCTCCATGTGGGGGCCAGAACTGAGTGCCTGGGGCCACCCCGTTAGTTCCTGGGGAGCAGGGAGCCGACTGAAGGGCCCCCTTGTCACGCCCTGTCGCCTCCCCTGTCGCTGACCAGCTCTTGGCTTTCCCCCACATGCGCAGTGATCATCACAGCCTTTGACCTCACGGATGTGCAGACCCTGGAACACACCAGGCGAGTCTGGGCTCAGAAACCCACCTGGAAGGGCTCCCCAGTCGGGGCCCCTGAGCTGGGCCCCAGTGGCAGGTGCAAGGGAGCAGCTCGCTGGTCAGGCCCTTGTTCTCCCTCGAGATTTGCACCAACGCTGACGTGCTCAGGGGCCTGTGCCAGCTTCCACACTCGGCTGTTGCCATCTGGAAGCCTTCGTGTGGGACGAAGGGCCTCGCAGGGTCATGTCCCTGGGCCTGCAAACTCTGTGGCCAGTCCTGTCGGAGGGACATGCCTGGCACCTCTGTCTGGGACAGGGATCTGGTCCGGAGCTGCCCACACGACCGGCTCCCGGAGGCCTTCCTGCTTCTGCCGGAATCCCCGGCTCATGGACCCGGCCCCCTTCCCCTCCCACGTGTGGGTGCTCACATCTCACATCTCCAAACCCTGGGGGCCCATCCCAGCTCATGACAGTGCAGGATCACCCCAGCTGACGCAGCCAGGGCAGAGCCACGGCCAAGACTGGGTCTCCACCACACCTGACCGGTGCTCCTGGCCCCCCCCTCCCCACCCCGTGGTCCAGCCAGGCCCTTCTGGCCTCGGCCCAGCCCTTCTCAGCTAGCTCGGTCCAGGCACCCTCCCAGCGCCTCCCAGCTCAGTGCCCCTGCCTGGGCGGCCGGGTCTGCACCCCCTCTAGCCTTTCTCAGGCTCTGTGGGGGGGCAGGGCTGTCTCTCAGCCGGTCCCCCCCACCCTGTGCATCCCAGGCAGTGGCTGGAGGATGCGCTGAGGGAGAACGAGCCAGGCTCCTGCTTCATCTTCCTCGTGGGGACCAAGAAGGACCTTCTGGTGAGCGGGGTGGAGGTGGAGGGGGGTGGAGGGGGATGTTGGGGGAGGGGGTGCCCAGGGAAATGGATCCGTTTCCCACCCAAGCCCGGGATGGAGGGCGGCCTGGCGTGGTTCGGTGAGGATCCGAAGGCACAGGCCCGGGACCTGAAAGTTAGGGGTGCTCCTCTCAGGGGGCACGGCTGGCACTCAGACTTGCCCAGGGCTGCTGGGGTCTCACCCCTGCCCTGGGGCCGCCTGCCCAGGGTGAGGTGGGGAAGGAGGCCCAGTGGGAGGCGGCAGCCACCTCCTGGCGCCTCCTAGAAGGGCCACTTCCCCAGTCCAGGGCGGCGTGTGAGCAGGCGGAGGGGGAGGCCGTGCACCTGGCCAACGAGCTGCAGGCCGAGTACTGGTCGGTGTCGGCGAAGACGGGTGAGTGGGCTCGGGGCTGCACGTGGTGGGCTCGGGGCCGGCTGCGGGAGGCTCACGCATCGCCTTCTGCGGCCCATTGAGTGCCGTGTCACAGCGGCTGTGCGGATGGCCGGGCAGGACCTCCCGTTGCCTGAGCAGCCCCTCATCTCTAGGGAGACTGGACCCTGCCCAATGGCCGTGGGAATAGCGACCCTGACCCTCTGGGCAGGTCAGTTCTGTCCCTGGGAAGTGGCTTCCAGGGTCCCGGGGCGGCCGTGCCAGGTCTAGGATTGGAACCCAGCCCTCACTGTAACCACTGCAGGGCCCTGCCCGCACCTGTGGGTGCCCGGGGTGGGGGGGGGCACCACCTGGCACACAGAGGGGCCCAGCAACTGGGGGCTCCCATCCGTCCCCTGGGTGTCATCGTGAGAGATACGACCCTCGCTCACGGCCTGCAGCCCTCAGCCAGATCCCCCTGGATCCGGCCCTGGGCCCTGAGCCCTGAGCCGCCTTCCCCCACGGGCACTGCTCGCCGTGGCCCCGGCAAGATGCCCAGCGTCTCTGAGCCTCAGTGTCTTTGTCTGGGAAGCAGGTGATGCTGCTTATCTCATTTTATTTTTAATGGAAAAGCATGTTTGAAATTGCAAAAGCCCCACGTGTTCACTGAGAAAAGCTCGACAATGCCTTGTAGTGAGTGCCTGGCGCAGAGAGGGTCTGGGGGCAGGAATTACACACACGGTGGTCCTTGCAGACACGGGCCAGGGATGGGGGAGGAAGCGCCCAGGCCTGGTGCCCTCTGCTCCTGCCTGATGGCACCCCCGTGCCCTGGGAGGACCCCCTCTCTCACCAGATGGCGGCAGGTTCACCGAGGGCTCTGGGTGCCAAGCAGAATGCCCCTGTGCCATCGTGCAGGCTGTTGGCTGCACAGGGTAGTGTGAGGGCCCTGGAACCCCGTCCTGTGCCCGGATGGGCAGCCTCCACCTGGAGGAGGACTCACAAGGTTCCGCGTGGGGCTGGCCGCACGTGCCAATCCTCCTAGCTGGCCCTGGACAGGTGTTCCCAGGTTCCAGGAGAGCAGGGCCCTCCCGCACGTCCCTGCGGGAGGAATAGGTTGTGGGAAGCCCAGGGGCAGAGATCTGGGGCAGCGGCGGGGCAGGAGGCCAGTCCTGGGCACCGCCCTGTCCCAGCCCTCACCCCGAGGCGGGCGGGTCACGGCTGTGTCCTGGGCTCGCAGGGGAGAACGTGACGGCCTTCTTCAGCCGCGTGGCCGCCCTGGCGTTCGAGCAGTCGGTGCTGCAGGCCCTGGAGAGGAGGAGCGGCTGCCGGCTCCTGATTGGCGACGGAGACCTCATCCGTGCGTACAGGCCGCGCGGGGGCGGAGGCAGGCTGTGGCCTCACATCCACCTCCAGCATCCTCCCACCCCCCTCGGGCCGTCCTTTCTCCGTCACTCTGACCCCAGGCCCCAGGGCCACAGCCTCCCAGATCCCGCCTGCCAGCTCAGACCCCCTCGCTGCTCCCCTGTCCACCGGGCAGTCTCCCCACGGGCAGGCTGGGCACCCAGGCTCCACGGTGTGTCCTGGCTGTGGCTCTCCTAGTACCTACCTTTGCCCATCACCCGGAATGTGTCCCCGTGCCCGGCCTTGAATGAGAGGCCTGGAGGCCTCTGACCACTGACCAGCAGGCACCAGAGGGCATCGGGTGGGGGGCCCTGTCCCGTGTCCCTGCAGGTGCCTGGTTGATGCCAAGTGACTCCTCTCCTTCCAGGGATGGAGGGAAGCCCCTCCGAGACCCAGGGGAGCGAGAGGCCCTCCGGCCTGGGCTGCTGTTAGCTGGGGTCTGTGTCTGAGGCCTCCACTCCCGACACCGCGTGGGCAGCGCCATCTGAGACTGCGGAGGGGGCACGTGGAGCCTGAACTCGGCGACGTATCTGTGCAGGCGCCACTCCCGCTTCTCTAGCGGGAAAGCCCTCGCTAGCTGCCCGGGGCCCGCACTGCCCGACTGGGGGGCGCCGTGGTGCCACCTGGAAGGCCAGGCTCACCTACAGACTCACCCATCTGCCGGCCTTGAGAAACCTCAGACTGCAGGCACAGGACACGTGTGCCGCGGCCCTCAGCACCCGTCAGCATCTGCACGTGCCCTCAGCCTCTCCTGGTGAGCAGGGCCTGGCCGAGTCAGCACACGAGGACCACCTGCCACCCCGCCTGGGACTTCCCTTCGCAGCAGGACTTGCACTTCTGGGTCCCCCGTCCAGTCCCTCTGCCAGAGCCAAGCGGGGTCCCCGGGGGCCTTGCCTGCCTCGTGGACCCTCCTCTCTGGAGGAGGACGGGCGTCCCCCCAGCCCTCCGCACACCCAGCCGGGCAGGCCCAGCCCTCCGCACACCCAGCCCTCCGCACACCCAGCCCTCTGGCACACCCAGCCCTCCTGCACACCCCGCCCTCCGCACACCCAGCCCTCCTGCACACACAGCCCTCCGCACACCCAGCCCTCCGCACACCCAGCCCAGGCCCAGCCCTCCTGCACACCCAGCCCTCCGCACACCCAGCCCAGGCCCAGCCCTCCTGCACACCCAGCCCTCCGCACACCCAGCCCAGGCCCAGCCCATCTCCTGCCCAGTCCACGCCCTCTCCATGCCCTGGGGTTGCTCCTCCAGGAGGAGCTACTAACGCCCCCACCCACCCACAGCCCTACCCACAGCCCCAGGGGTGCCGCCCAGCACCCTGGCAGGGCCCGCCCACTACAGGTGCTCAGGGCGGCAACTGCCCAACGTCGCTGGGGGAAGAACACGGGCATCTTTTTCTGTTTATTTCCCCTTTGCCACGTTTTTGGCTTTCTCTTTTTTATGACGATATAAAATCCTGCTTTGTAAACACCACTCTTAAACGGAATGCGTGCTTTCTGTAAAAAAAAAAAAGTCAGAGCTTTGCATGCAGAGCGGAGTCCGCCAGTGGGTGGCGCCCCTGGGAGGGAAGCGCCGTGCCCAGCGGGGAGGGCCCTTCCAGGCGGTTCCTGCTGAGCACAGCCTGGCGGCCGCGGGCTCCTGTGCTGTTTCGCCAGAACGACCCCCGTCCGCACACACCGCCTGGCAGCTCCCGTCCGTGATGCCCTGTGGGCCCTGTCCACGCCGCCCTGCGCCCCTTAATCGGGTCCCTGCGGCCCCTCCTCCCAGCCCTGCCTGCGCCTGGAGGGAGCAGAGGCCCCAGTCCATTCCCCTCCCAGACAGACCTCGCTCTCCAGAGGGACCCAGGCGTCCTTAGCAGCGCTGGGACGCAGAGAAGATCAGTTACACCCGCATGTTCACTCCTTCACACGCGTAAGAATCAGTGGCCCAGGGAGAGGCCGGGAGAGGACAAGGCGCTGCCGCTGTGGGGGCGGCAGAGGGAGGCCCAGGCAGGGACGGGAGAAGGTGGGGCAGGGCCCAGCTCAGAGAGGGGCCCCCTCTTCTGTCGGAGAAGGGCTTCTGGAGATGGGGGCAGGAAGGACTGGGCACCCCGCCACCCAGGGAGCCCAAGGCTTTGGCCGTTGCCCTGAGACAAGACCCCCTCCCGCAGCCCCCGGGCCACCCTGCCATCTGCTCCGCCCCATGTCACTTCCCATATGGCGGCCCTCCCAGGAGGGAGGCTGATCGGCGGACTGGAACTGCGCCTGTCACGCCGCCTCCTTCCAGGCAGAGCAGCGTGTTCCCGGACTCCGGCCCCACCCGGAGGCCTCCCAGCACCAGGGCCACCGGCCACCTGTCCGAGCCTGCGCCCCAGGCGGCTCTGGGAGCTGTCAGTCTGGTGCGCGGCCCTTGGATCTGCTGGCCTCCCCCCCTCAGTCCTCGAGGAAGCAAAGCAGCTCAGGGCTCCCTCCCCCCCAGGTGAGTGCCCTCCCCTGGCCTGAGGGTGCTCTGGCCTCTGACCCCTGGAAGCCAAGGCCTGGACCGCCTCTGCCTCCCCTCGGCCTCCGGCCTCCGTAGTGATGCCTTGAGGACAAGCTCATCCTGTCCCTGCCCCCACCCCCCATGAAGGCAGGGAGGCGGCCAGAACACTCCCCTGGGACACCCGACTGCAAGGGCCTCATCAATAATTGATTCTGCAGGAGGCGGGCCAGTTGCAGCCGAGGGGGCCTGGGAGGAAAGGCCCACGCCCTCCCTCACACGGAGCCCTGGGCCCAGGAAGCCCCGGGGAGACCTGCTCCCCAGCCCGGGCGGGAGGGGGGAGCCTGGAGGAGGTGCCCCGCCGGTCCGTCCAGCACAGGGACTGAGAACAGCTGTATCGATCGCCCTGTTTTCAGATCTTGCCTGCAGCTCCCAGGGGCTGGCGGGTGATGGATGGTGGCTGACAGATGACAGATGGGGGTCGTGTGGACCTCCTCCTGGGAGGGAGTCCTGCTCTGGCCTCTGACCCGCAAAGCGGGTGGGGATGGGGGTACAGACAGGCCCGGGAGGAACAAGGAAAAGCCTCAGCTCTCCGGGGGCCGCAGGTAGGCCTCCAGGCAGAAAGCCCTGCCATCCTGAGAAGCCAGGGCCAACGACCCCGCCTGACGACACATGGCAGGAGCAACATCCAGGGCTCCGGTCCCAGCACCTTCCCCTGCCTCTTGCCCAGATGGCGGTGGTGAGGGTGGCAGGCACGTCGATGGGGTCCCAGCCCAGGCTGGGCAGCTGGTGAGAGCCGGATGGCTATGAGCCCTGAAGACCAGGTGATGCTAGCAGGTGTACTGGTTACTAATCCGGGTGTCTTTCAATCGATGGAGTTACACATATGCTGATATATATGCTATGTGATATGTGTGCTATTTTGTTGTATTGACAACAAGCTTCAGAACTTCCTATGTCAAATTTTCAGAAGGTGTTAATATCATAGATATTTTTACGCTTAAAAATGTCAAATTTTGTGGCCCCCCCCCCCCACAAAAAGAGCATTTGCGGGGAGTTTTAATTCATTATTTTTATTTTGAAGAAAAGTGCTGCTGAAAGTGATCGTATACTTCGGGAAGCTTATGGTGAACATGCTCCATCTCAAGATACCTGTGAACGCTGGTTGAAACGCTTTAAAAGTGAGGATTTCGATGTGAAAGACCAAGAACGTCCAGGTCAACCGAAAAAGTTTGAAGACCAACAATGACAAGCGTTATTGGATGAAGATTCGGGTCAAACTCAAAAACAACTCGCAGAAAGATTCAGTGTTGCTCAGCAAACAATTTCCGATCGTTTACAAGCAATGGGAAGGATTTTAAAAGAAGGAAAATGGGTGCCACATCAACTGAATGAAAGACAAAAGGAAAACCGAAAAGTCATCAGTAAAATGCTGCTTCAACGGCACGAAAGAGTCTTTTTTGCATCGAACTGTGACTGGCGATGAGAAGTGGGTTTATTTTGAGAATCCCAAACGCACAAAATCACGGGTTGACCCAAGTCAACCATCAACATCGACTGCAAGGCCAAATCGCTCCGGAAAGAAGACAGTGCTCTGCGCTTGGTGGGATCGGGAAGGTGTGGAGTATTATTGAAGTGTGGTAGCAGTCATCTCAGGTAGAAACTATAGTTTAACTTTAACCCTGCTGTTTGGCTTCTGTACTTATTTGCTTTGTTTAACAATAGAAAAGTTATTTTGATTTTCTGAATTATATAAATCATCCCATTCGATTGAATACCCTATTGATTGTACTGTGACTGTCCCATTGGTTGTGGTCATCCTGGTCTTAGAAAGCACGTTTTCCTTCACCTGGGAAGGACAGCACAGTTATCCCAAGGTCAGAGGGCTCCAGTTAACGTGGCCCTTGTTGACTCAGTGTTCTGGAGACCCAAAGCTATAATTTAGATAACATGCTGCTTCTGCTTCTGTAAACCGCTTTTTTGCAAACCAGGTTCCTCATTCCAGACCTGAGGGCTCTAGATAATGTGTTTCTGTCAATTCAGTGATCCGGAGACCCAAAACTGTGATTTAGGTAACATGCTGCTTCTGCTTCTGTAAACTGTTTTTTTGCAAATCAGGTTCCTCATCCCAAACCCTGGGATGTAATCAATACCTTTGTGATCTTTGCCTATAGAAATCTGGTGTTGCGGCCATCTTATCACTATGAGATTTGGGGAATGGCCCCTCATAGTCCCAGATTGCGATAAATATGACTCTTTAATTCGACTTCTTGAGGCGTCCTTCTGTGATTCCCAGGGTACATTACAACATTATGAGCTGCTAAAACCAGCTGAAATCGTTAATACTGATCGCTACAGACAACAAATAATCAATTTGAACCACGCTTTGATCGTGAAACGGCCACAATGGGCCAGAAGACACGGCAAAGTAATTTTGCTTCATGATGAGGCACCATCACACACTTCAAAACCAGTGAAAGACACGTGAAAAGATCTTGCCCGGGAAGTATTAGCCCACCCGCCGTATGCACCAGCCCTTGCTCCTTCCGATGACCACCTGTCACCATTGATGACACATGCACGTTCTAAGCGGCACTTCAACACGTATGAAGACGTGGGAAACTGGGTCTCTGAATGGTCGGCCTCAAAACAAGAAAAGTTCTATTGGGACGATCTCCACACATCACTTGAAAGATGGGGAAATGTGTAGCCAGCGATGGACATGACTTTGAATAAAGCACTTTGGATGTTTCTCTTGAAAGTATTGTGTTTTTTATTACAAAATCCGCATTTTTAACTGGTTGATAGCTAATCCGCACTTTTAACCGGTAGGTGAAATTTTAACCTAGATGCTCCTTAAACACACCTAGAACTTCTTAGTCTTCCTGTCTTTGCCTTGCTGTTCCTCGTCCTAGGACCTGGCAAACCTCCCTCAGACTCTGCCTCCCCTTGGGCCCCCACATGACACACACCCTCTGCCACCGCCTGGCTCTGCCTGCCTTATCAATTCCTCATACATACACACACACACACACACACACACACACCCACACACACACACACACGTACACCTCTCCCCAGGCTGTGTGCTCCCTGGGGCCGTCAGCTTCCTCATTCACCAGCACTGGCCAAGCACCTACTGTGTGCTGAGGACGGGGGAGTCATGGGTAACAAGAGAGACAGGTCTCTGTCCTCTGCAGTTTAGATCCAGCTGGGGACAGACAGCAGGCAGACAGGGCCCCACTTTCCTCCTCCTCCCTGCCCTCCCCGCCCTCCCAGCCCTCCCCGGAGGGGATGGGTGATAAGGAAGCCCTGCAGGGAAAGGACCAGAGGCCAGGCCAGGCGGGAGCGCTTTCAGAAAAAGGGCTGAGGATGGGAGGAGTGTCCTTGGGGTCAGAAGAAGCTGTCCCCTCCAGCGGGGAGATAGCCACTATCTCGCTGTGTCCTTGTGCTCAACAACAAGCCACTTGGCAAGGGAAGAGCCCCAAAACCCAGGCTACACATCTGCAGGGTTTGGGAGCGAGGTCCGCTTATGTCTACCACACGGAAGGTGGGGCTGAGCTGGGGCCTGCAAACCAGAGAAAGGACGACCTCAGTGACGGATGAAGTCCCCTCCCCCCGGTATCCTCTTGTTTCCCAGGTGGTCATTATAATGTCCCTGGTGATCCCACGATTCCCCCTGGAAACGGAGGGGCCCATCGGCAAGGGACAAACAACTGTGGCTGGGGGATTCTCTCTGCTGACCGCCAGGGCCCGGGGCCTGAGCCGGCCTGGCCCACTCGCTGGGTGCCCTGAGCATGCGGCGGGGAAGGCAGCTACTGTTGATCATGAGCCATCCCCTGTGAGGGCAGGACTTCTTCTACCCATTTTATTTTAATTAATTGAATTTTGGGGGGATGACTTTGGTTTGCAAAACCATACAGGTTTAAAGTGCCAGGCTTGCATGGCTCAGTGGTTGAGCATCAACCTCTGAACACAGTCAGGGCACATGCCTGGTTTGTGGGCTCGATCCCCTGTGTGGGGCGTGCAGGAGGCAGCCGATCCAAGATTCTCTCTCATCATTGATGTTTCTATCTCTCTCCTTCTCCCTTCCTCTCTGAAATCAATAAAAAAAATATATACATTTTAAAATAATCATTTTATTCGGTATCAGTGCGCCTTCGATTCATCAACAGTTGCCGGTTTTGTACTGTAAATCTTATCTTGTATGTATCCCCATAACAAGTCTAGTGGATAAATTTTCTTTGTTCAAAGCTTAGTTCGGCTTCACCCATTCTTTCACATCAGTTAAACCTGAAGTGAAAACTCAGTGAGTTACCAGCTGTTAAAGTGAGTGTACAGGTTTTGGGGACACCCTGTATATGATTGTTGGCGAATCCCTTCACCTTCTTTCATCCAGTTTCCCCACCCCCTCTCCCCCCAGTCCGTTCCAATTATACCCATTTTAAAGAATAGGTCACAGAGGATGTGAGCACCGCTGAGATGTCAGCCTTGCCTTGCTCGGCCCTGCAGGCAGGACGTAGAGAGGCCTGCAGAGGGCAGCAGTGAGCCGTGCCTGGAAGTCAGCCCCAAGGGTTCTCGGGTGCCTCTCTGGGGGCAGCCTCCTAACAAGGGAGGGAAGGGGCACCACAGGCCCTTTACCCAGGTGTGTTTCAGGTGGGGCCCCTCTGAGTGCTTACAGACGGTGCTCCCAGCACCTTACGTAGGAGGACCAAACCGGCTCAGAGAAGGGGAGGTGACTGCCCAGGCCACAGAGCCTGTGTGGGGGTGACCCCCGCCCTAGTCAGGCAGCAGGGCCCTGGCCCTGGGCTCCGTATTAGACATCAGGGTATCTCACCTGGGTGGCCCTGGAACTGGGGGGAAGGCAAGAGAACCCCTCACAGCCCGGCCGGGGTGGCTCAGCGGTTGAGCGGGGGCCCAGGAGCCAGGAGGTCGTCGGTTCGATTCCTGATCTGGGCACATGCCCGGGGTTGCGGGCTCAATCCCCAGTGGAGGCAGACAATTGATGTTCCTCTCTCATTGATGTTTCTATCTCTCTATCCCTCTCCCTTCCTCTCCCCCTAAAAATCAATAAAAACAATAATAATAATAAAGATAACCCCTCACATCCACGCAGGGACAGCAGCGTGGGAGGCATCGTCCTTGTTCTCATGCCAACGCCCAGGACTCACGCCCTGTTCTCGGGTTGACCAATCCTGTTTCCTACCCCCTCGCCCAGCAGGCTGGTTAGGGCATTTTCCTTTGCCCCGTCGGACTCCCTACCCTGTGCTCTCTGCCGCCTGTGGTGTGCGATCCCTGGGCATCCCTGGGGCAGGAGAAAAGGTGCGGGTTCACTGCTCGCCTGGGCTGCCCTGTCCGCGGCCCCGCCGGTCACAGTGGAGGCCGCACCCCTTAGACTCTAAGGCTTAGCGGTGGTTCTCAACCTTCTGGCCCTTTCAATACAGTTCCTCATGTTGTGACCCAACCATAAAATTATTGTCGTTGCTACTTCCTAACTGTCATGTTGCTACTGTGATGAATCGTCATGTAAATATCTGACATGCAGGACGGTCTCAGGCGACCCCTGTGAAAGGGTGGTTCGACCGCCAAAGGGGTCGAGACCCACAGGTTGAGAACCGCTGGCTTAGAGGAAGCCGAGTTGAGTCGGGCAATTCGGGGGACACTACGCTGGCCTCTGGAGCTCAGGAGAGATGGGGGCGGGGAGTGGGGGGAGACACGCATCTGGAACAGGACCAAGGGAAGGGAGATGTGGGTGTTGAGCGGCCTGGGGGAGAAATTCCTGTTGGTTATCTCTGCGAGGATCCTGCTTGGCAGCTGTTGCTTCATCACCCACCCCGGCCTGGCACACAGGGGCTGCTGGCATTGGCGGCCCAGCCTGGCCCCTCCGGCCTGGCTGAGGGACCCGCGTCCACCCCACCCTCCCCAGCTCCACCCTGAGGCGGATGAGTGGCCCGGGGCCTGGGAAGTGAGGGTCCAGGTGCTCCCGCCCAGGGGTGCGGGGGGGCCTCTGGGCTGGACGCGGGGTTCGCCGCGGGGCCGGCTTCCAGCCCAGCGCGGGGACCAGGAGGGCAGCGGCTCGCGATGGGAGAGGCCTCCCGGCCCCCACCCTCTCCCGCCCCGCCCCGGGCGCCTCGGCGCGGCCCCTTTAAGAGGCCCGCCCGGCTCCGTCAGCCGCCGCTGCCACCGCCCCCCGGCCCTCCCCTTCCTGCGGCGCCGAGTGCGGGCCGGGCGGAGTGCGGCGGAGCGGCCGGGGAGCGCAGCGCCGGGAGGCGGCGGCAGCGGGTGCCGGCGGCGGCGGGCGGAGAGGAGCGCGCGGCGGCGCCACGGACTAGCGGCTCCGGCCCCGCGGACGCAGCTCGGTCCCGCCCCGCGCGGAGCCGCCCCGCACACAATAGCCGAGCGCGCAGCCCGCACCCCCCCCCCCCGCGCGCGCCCGTCCCCCCGCCCCCGGGCGCCCCGCCCCGCCCCGCGCCTCCGGGGAGCCGAGCGGCCGCCTCACCTGCCGCCGGGAGGGGGCGGGCATTGTTCGCGCGCCGCCGCCGCCGCCGCGCGGGGCCATGGGGGTCGCCGGGCGCCCCGGGCCGGGCCTGGCGAGGCCGCCGCGCCGCCGCTGAGCCGGGCCCCGCGCGCAGCCGGGCGGCGCAGGTGAGAGCGGCCGCGCCATGGTGGACCCGGTGGGCTTCGCCGAGGCGTGGAAGGCGCAGTTCCCGGACTCGGAGCCGCCGCGCATGGAGCTGCGCTCGGTGGGCGACATCGAGCAGGAGCTGGAGCGCTGCAAGGCCTCCATCCGGCGCCTGGAGCAGGCGGTGAACCAGGAGCGCTTCCGCATGATCTACCTGCAGACGCTGCTGGCCAAGGAGAAGAAGAGCTACGACCGGCAGCGCTGGGGCTTCCGGCGCGCGGCGCAGCCCCCCGACGGCGCCGCCGAGCCCCGCGCGCCCGCCCCGCGCGCGCCGCCCGCGCCCGCCGACGGCGCCGACCCGCCGCCCGCGGACGAGCCCGAGGCCCGGCCCGACGGAGAGGGGTCCCCGAGCCAGGCCCGGCCCGCGGCCGCCCGCCGGCCCGGGGCCGCCGCTCCTGCCGCCGACCGGGACGACCGGGGGCCCCCCACCAGCGTGGCGGCGTTGCGGTCCAACTTCGAGAGGATCCGCAAGGGCCCGGGCCAGCCCGGGGCGGCCGACGCCGACAAGCCCTTCTACGTGAACGTCGAGTTCCACCACGAGCGCGGCCTGGTGAAGGTCAACGACAAAGAGGTGTCGGAGCGCATCAGCTCGCTGGGCAGCCAGGCCATGCAGATGGAGCGCAAGAAGTCCCAGCTGGGCGCGGGCGCGGGCGCGCACCGGGGGCGCCCCTCCGAGGGCACCTTCGGCCTGGACGGCGACTACGAGGACGCCGAGCTGAACCCCCGCTTCCTCAAGGACAACCTGATCCACACCAACGGCGGCGGCAGGCCCCCCTGGCCACCCCTGGAGCACCAGCCCTACCAGAGCATCTACGTGGGGGGCATGATGGGGGAGGGCGAGGGCAAGGCCCCCCTCCAGCGCAGCCAGAGCACCTCGGAGCAGGAGAAGCGCCTGACCTGGCCCCGCCGCTCCTACTCCCCTCGGAGCTTCGAGGACAGCGGCGGCGGCTACACCCCGGACTGCAGCTCCAACGAGAACCTCACCTCGAGCGAGGAGGACTTCTCCTCCGGCCAGTCCAGCCGCGTGTCCCCGAGCCCCACCACCTACCGCCTGTTCCGCGACAAGAGCCGCTCGCCCTCGCAGAACTCGCAGCAGTCCTTCGACAGCAGCAGCCCCCCGACGCCGCAGTGCCCCAAGCGGCACCGGCAGGGCCCGGTCGTGGTGTCGGAGGCCACCATCGTGGGAGTCCGCAAGACCGGGCAGATCTGGCCCAGTGATGGGGACAGCACCTTCCCCGGAGATGCAGGTGGGTACCTCTGCCGGCCCCCTGGCTAGGAACCATGGCGCCTGCAGGACAGGAGGGGCTAGAAAAAGGGGGGTGATGTTCTGGGCGAGGCTAGGGAGGTGCTGTTGGCATGAAGGTCCCATACTGCTGTGGACAGGAAGGGTTCCTGCCGGTCCTGCGCCTGGACAGACCATCCCGCCTTCCTCCTCAGGGCAGGTTCCCAGTGTTTGGAATGGGGTTGGGGTGGGAGGATTGAGGGGGTGGGGGTGGGATGGTAGGCGGCTAGTTCCCTGGGTTCTGCAGTGTGTGCTGTTGGTGGGTTGGTCCCAGGATGCTCTGGGCGGTCGTCATCTTCCCTAGGCCAGTGGTTCTCAACCTTCCTAATGCCACGACCCTTTAATACAGTTCCTTATGCTGTGATGAACCCCAATTTCATTGTTACAAATTGAACATCATTAAAGCATCGTGATTCACCACAAAAACAATATGTGATTGTATATGTGTTTTCCGAGGGTCTTAAGCGACCCCTGTGAAAGGGTCGTTGGACTCCCAAAGGGGTCGCGACCCACAGGTTGAGAACCGCTGCCCTAGGCGCTGGGGGTCCTATAAAGAGGGTTCTGCGCTGTGTAGGTCAGATGCTTTAATCCGGGATTGATCTGTGTGTTGGGCATCCCCCCAGTTCCCATCTTGGGAGAGTTATATGACACGATTGGGGAACCCAAGAAGTGCTAGCTGCTCCCAGGCCACGAAGTGTCGGGTTCGCTGGCTAGCCAGCAGCCCAAGTCAAGTCACAGCAGGTGAAGATGCAAATTAGGAGGAAGTGAGGTGACAGGTAGTTCTGACTCAGTGGGCCCCCGAACATCAAGGGGGTGGGCGTGGGGGGTGGAGAGCCACACCCGTTCCGATCTGCCCGGCTCTGGTGGGAGACTTCACCCATCGTTACTCACTCACTCCCCGGCTCCTCCGTGCAGCTCACCCCCGGCTCCAGTTGCTGATCCCTCATTGGGCTCCTGCCTCCTGGGCGCCCCAAAGACCAGTGCTCACTGGTGCTTAATTTAGGCTCCCAGTGCACGGTCTGGCCCTGACCCCAAGATTAAATCGACACGATTTTGTCTGCCACTTCTGGACTGTGTACAAACACCATTGGGGTGATGGGGCTGGGTTTGAGCCAGTTTGTAATTGGGGTAAGGAGAAGGGTGGGTGGGTGTGAGCCGGTCGGGAGTCTCCTGGAGTCTAGTCCCTGCTGGACTGAACTGGTTTTCCACTTCATTGATTTTCCTCTTTTTTTTTTTGCTGATGGAGTCGTATGTGCTTCATTGGTCAGAATCCTCTTGAAATAAGTGAGGCTATTTTTGGCTCCGGGAGCCGCCTTTTTGGGATCCACCCTCCGCCCTGTTTGTTTCAGGTGCATCCAGCTGATGGTTTGCCACTGGCAGCTGGTGTAGCTGCGGCCTGGCTCCCACCAGCGCCCGCTGCGTCCCTGGAGCCCTTCGTGGGGGGTGGAAGGCTGTGGCATCTAGAAACCTGCTTTGTAGGCACATCAGCTCGTCTGGGGTCTGGAGGATTGCCCTGCGGCCACAGGGTCCCAGCCCTGCCTGGCCAGCTGTGGACCGAGCGAGCCAGCTGGAACTGGCCCCAGGGGCCGGGGGTGCGGGACTCAGGGCCAGTGCAGTGCAGTTAAGTGCCTTCATGCTGTTGCGCTGCGGTCACCACGGCCCACCTCCAGGACGCTCTTGCTCTTGCAAAACTGAAGGTCTGCACCCACCCACAGCGGCTCCCTGAGTCCCCCGCCCCCGCCCCCCCCCCCCGCCCAGCCCCTGGCGGCCTCAGCTTTCTGCTTCTGTGGTTTGACTCTTGGCGCCGCGTGGAAGTGGAAGCGCCCAGTAACTCGTGCCCCTGGGTCTGGCACCAGGTCCCCAAGTTGCACCCACATGTGCATTTTGAAGACTGGGGTCCCCTGACTCATTGGGGATCTCCTGGGGGAGCCTTAGAGCTGGACACCCAGCGCCTCCTGGAGGGTTCCTTCCTCCTTGTCACAGCTTCCGGCGCCCTGGGAACTGGGAAGCGTCTTACCAACTGCACCTGTCTCCCCCTCACTCCGTCCCTGTCCTTTCACTTCCCCTCAGGCGAGTGGCAAGCCCTGTCCTGAGAGAGGCCCGTGGACCCAGGGACCTCTCCTTTTTTCGTCCTATTAAAGTCTGTGGAATTCTCTCTTTTTTTTATTTTAAAAAAATTATTGATTTGAGAGAAAGAGAGAGAGAGAGAAACATCGATTTGCTGTTCCACTTATTTCTGCATTCATTGGTTGGTTCTCAAATGTGCCCCGATCTGAGATCGAACCCCCAACCTTGGCGCATGGGGACGACGCTGTGATCAACGGGGCCACCCCGCCAGGGCAGCCTGGGATTCTTAACGCGAACACCCAGCCCTGTTCCAGGTGTCGTTGTGAGATGGGGCACACCCCCACGCCCCCCACCACCTCCTGTGTCTTCGTGGGCGCTCGTGCACGTATGCAGGGTGCTGCCCTGTGCTTTCACGTGTGTCCAGCAGCTCACTTTGCCCTTTGGGTGCTGGTGCTGTGTGGTCTCCGGAACCACAGAGATGGCTGCTCTGTTTTTCTCTGGGCTGGTGATTGAAGGGACCAGTGGCCAGCGAGAGTGGGTAACCGCGGGGCAGGAAGAGGCCCCCCAGGCCTCGCGCCGGCTCCATCGGCGTCTCCTTAGACCAGAGCCTGTGGTCACTCGGTTGAGAGCAGACTTCCCCCTCCCCCCGACAGAGGCACAGCAGGCAGCCTGGGCGCAGGCCCCAGAGCACTGAGGTCATCAGCAGGGTGGGAACGAAGTCTAGGTCACATTTTACAAGGTGTCCTGGCTCGGCAAGGATGACTTTCTTGTTTTGGGAACAGAAGGAAGCATTCCAGAACCTCTCATTAAAGGAGCTGGGCCGCCGGCGTGGCTCAGTGGCTGAGCGTCGACCTATGCACCAGGAGGTCACACGCCCGGGTTGCGGGCTCGATCCCCAGTGCAGGGCGTGCAGGAGGCAGCCGATCCATGATTCTCTCCTCATTGACGTTTCTCTCTCTCCCTTCCACCCCCACTCCCACCCCCTTCATGTTCGGGGGCCCTCTGAGTCCCCGAACAGGTGGGTGCCTGCTGCCTGGCTCACCTGTGCGCAGGTTGTGGGAGACGCAAGACCTTGTTCGTGTTCTGGCGTCTCCCTTCCCGCGTGTCTTCCTCTCACTACCTCTGCCGCGAATCCTGTGTGTGTCCGACTTCTTTCTTCGGGGTGTGAGGTCCTAAGGATACGGGCAGAGTCTGTGCTGCCTCAGGGGCGCCCAGGACACGCCGCACTCGAGGCCCTTAGCCGTGTTGCATGTGACTGTGGTGACGGAGCCCGCGTGGGTCTGTCTGTGTCTCCGGTGCTGTGTTTGTGAGTCAGAGATGGAATGAGACCCCATCTCCGAGGCTTCCGTTTGCTCAGCCCCTCCTACCCCATCTAAGAAGCGGCAGTGGATTTTGGGGGGCCAAGGATGCAGGTGCTCCAGCAGGGATGAGCTGGAGATTCATTTTTTCTTCTTTGCTGAGGCTGGGGTTTCCCTGCTGAGCCTGAGAGAGCCTCTCCAGTCCTCAGACTGAGGCCTGTCATCGGTGCCTTGGATCCGAGCGCTCACCTCTGCGGCCTTGCACCATGACCGTGGACAGGGGTGGTGGCTGGGGCCCAAGGACACGGACAGGCGGGTTTATAGATGCACCTGCCGGGGTCTGGGGCCCGGAGATTGCGACATACCCCCCACCACCACCTGTGTCATGAAGTGGCCGGAGCAAGATCATTATCATAATTATATGCCATCGGCTGGTAGGGTCCAAGGAAGTGTGGGGCAAACGCATAGCCCTAAAATAACCCGCCCGGGTCAGGCGGCCAGCGGAGGGGCTGGGGCCGGCCTCTCTCTGCAGACTGTGGGGGGAGGCCGGTCTCATGAGAGTGGACACAGAGCGACCCTCCCCCCCCCAGAAGTGGAGGGGACCTCCGTCAGTTGTTTTGCACGCGCACGGGGACCTGCTGTGTCGGATAGTCATGGCGCTGAGCAGCATGAGACGGGCCTCCTAGCAGGTCATTTTCCGTCTGGTGGGGAGACAGCCGTAGCCCTAAGTGCTCTGATAGGAATCTGCTGGCCTTGCCTTCGGGCAGGCGCAGAGTGCCAGCCGTGCAGGGATGTTGTGTCTCTTATTTTGCAAATCTGCCAGAGAAAGGGGTTTCATACTCCCCCCCCCCACCCCGGGGCCCTTTGCTGAGACTTCTGCAGCGAGTGGGGGTGGGGGGAGAGGGGGGAGGAACCCCGGAGGGCAGGCTTGCTGGAAGGGCACTGCCCTCCACCCACCTTTTTCCGTCTAACAGTCAAGAGTTGGGGGGGGGGGGTGGTCGGTGCCTGCTGCCCTGCCCACCTGTGCGCAGGTTGTGGGAGACGCAGAGGGACAGAGGGACGGTGCCTGGCAGGGAAGGTGTGGCAGAGGAGGCCAGCCTCTTGCACAGAGCATCCGGCTCCTGGCCCCGGGGAGCCAGGCCGCTGACCAGGGGCTGCTGGGACGGAGCCGGCTCCATGTGCCAGGAGCCGGCCGAGGGGGCACTGGAAGGAGAGGATGGGCCTGCCCTGCGGGGCCAGGGACGGACAGCCCGAGGGGACCCCTGGCTCAGTGCCTCTCTGGTGGCTGGAGAGCGTTTGAAGACCCCCTTCCCTTTCGTGCCTGAGGCTCCCGTGTGCACAGTGCCGCTGGGGTCAGCTGGTGAGCCAGTAGGACGGGAGGAGGTTTTCTGCATATTGCATACATGTAACATACGTGCGTATAACCTAGCACGTCACAAGGCGAACGTTCTAGAAGCCACCACTTGGACGTGGCATATAGCCACCCGGCCCAGGAAGGGACGCTGAAGTGAAAGATCTGGGCTTGCTCAGTAGCCAGCGTGCGGCCTTGTGCAGGGATGGAATTGCCAGCTGCGGGGACACCCCCGCCTGGGGAGGCCTG